TCTTTCTCAACTCCAACCCAGAGGAGACTATAAACACTACTTACAAATGAACCATATCTAGCATCACAGGTCAAAACCCTACTGCCTTGGGAACTAGTTACAACCCTTCCCCTAGCAGTTAAGTCCCCTCATAGCATGGTTCCCAAATCACTTTCGTGCTCAAGCTGGACCGCATCCTTTCTTTACGTTATCTTTCAGTCTTTACACTTTTTTCATGCTGCCCCTTCCTCTAGAATACAACTCTCAAAGGTCTATCTAAAATTCAAAATGCCTCCCAGTATTCCCTGCTCTGTGAAGTCCTTCATGGTTTACTCAACCTTTCTATGAATGTTCATGTCACTTTTTACACCGTAGCACTTAGAACATTCTACCTTGAAAAGTGCTCATCTGTGAATCTGTGTCCCTCCCCCACCATCTACCAGACTGTAGGTCCCTGAGGGGAGTTCATACATCCTCAAGTGACTTGTAGCTCCCAATACAACACACAGGAGAACAAGAACAGTCGTGCATTTTATAAATTATTACACAAACTGTACAAAAATTTAAGCCACTGTCTCATATATATTATGTTAGGTGACGATAGTGGTAAAGAACCCACTCGCCAATGCAGGAGATTCAAGAGATGCAGGTTCGATCCCTGGGTTGGGAAGATCCCCTGGAGAAGGGAATGGTAACCCACTCCAGTATTCTTGCCTGGAGCATCCCATGGACAAAGGAGCCTGGTGGGCTAGAATCCATGAGGTCACAGAGTCAGACACGACTGAAGCGACTTAGCTTGCACACGTATCTCATAAATAGGAAGAGGGAAAATGGCACTAGATGTCATGTGTCAATATACATCCTTCTGTTGATTTATAGTATAAAATTAGCAAGAAGGAAAGCAATAAAATGTTGCAACAATCATTCATCTATGATAAGGAATTCTAATTAGACATCTATAAAAGGGGACCGTGAATTAGTTCAAAACAATGATTTTAAGTATCGGAATGTGAAGCAAAGAGTAACCTTAGACTGCCTGGTACTGGACAAGATAGGATGGTTTGTTAAATTTAACAAGTTCAGACTCAAGTCAACAGACCTGAGTTTGAATTTCACCTCTGCATCCTTCTACCCGTGGGGCTTTGGACAAGTTACTATGTCTCTATGCCCCAATATTCAGTGAAGTACTTAGGAAACAATAGCAATACTATGTTCTAGGCACTAGGACTATAAAAAAAAAAAAAGTTCCTGAACTCAGAAACTTACATTCTAGTAGGGAAGACAGCCAATAAGCAAATACATATACAATATGGTTGTGTGAAAAAAAAAAAAAATTTTTTTTTGCCACACGTCCTGGCATACTGTCTCGTAGTGCCTCAGCCAGGGATGGAAACTGCACCCCTTGCAGTGGGAGCTCAGAGTCTTAATCACTGAAAGTCCCCAAAGAGGTTTTTTAAATGCACGTAAAGGGACAGAGTGACCAGGAAGGCTATTGAGTTAGAGCCTTGGGCAGATGTCTATGAGGAGATTTCTGAATACAGAGACACCTGAGTCAAGAGAAGGAAAAAGCCAGATGGATACCTGGAGAAAGAAGCATTCTGGACAGAGGGAGAAGCACGCCTAGCATGTGCAGGGAACAACAAGGCTGGAGTGGCATGAGCTAGAAGAGTGTGGAAGAGACAGAGTCATTTTTTGAAGAGCCTTTAGGCCAAGGAAAATACTTAAGACTTTTTCCTAGTGAGACAGAAATTCTCTCTTATAATGGGCTTCAAGAAGGGAAAAGACCTGGTCTAGATGGCAAAAGTCCCTCCAGATTGATGAATAGCACATGGAAGTTTTAAGAAGAAAAACAAAAAGACTAAACTGTGAGCCAAATGTAGTATCTATGGGTTTCCCCGGTGGCTCAGTGGCACAGAATCCGCCTACAATACAGGAGACACGGGTTCAATCTCTGGGTCATGAAGATCCCCCGGAGGAGAACATGGAAACCCACTCAAGTATTTTTGCCTGGGAAAGCCCATGGACAGAGGAGCCTGGCAGGCTACAGTCCACAGGGACACAAAGAGCTAGACATGACTTGTGACTAAACAACAACATCTACGCAAGAAGATGGTGGCAGCAAGGGGAGATAAATTTAGAGAATGATTGAGAATGATTGCTGATGGACTCTATGTGGGGTGTGAACTCTCACTGGACGTATGGTCCCAATTAATCTTGCTGATTCTTATATTGGTGAGATATAGTTAAAGACAGAAGGTATTAGAGAAGGAAACGGCAACCCACTCCAGTACTCTTGCCTGGAGAATCCCATGGACGGAGGAGCCTGGTAGGCTACAGTACACGCGGATGCAAAGAGTCAGACATGACTGAGCGACTTCACTTTATTACAGCTCAAAGAACTTAAACTAGTTTAAGCCCTAAAAATGAGCTATATCTGGTACACTGAAAAAGCATATACTACAAACAGAAAGTGACTTATTGCTAGGTCAAGGATTTTTCTCCTTACAATACTACTAAATACACATAACCGTTTTGTCTGTATTTTAAAACATACCAAAAAATACATCATGAACTATGAACAAAAATGTTCCATTTGGGTTCCTGGAGGTGAAACAGAAGTGTGAGGTCCCCCTAACGACTAGGGGTAGGAGGTGGGGTAACTGAGATTTTTAACTCACACCTGTCTACACTGAGCCTCCCAAGAATTCATCAATTACAGTTCGGGTTTTCCTACCCTGGCACTGGATTTTATGGAGGTTTCTGTTGTGGCAAGCTGTGATTCTCTGTATTTACCTGTCTCTCCAATTCCAGGCACAGCAGTTTGCCCTGTGACCTCACTTTTCTGACAAATCCAGGAAGAGCTATTCATTTTTCAGTCTGTTCAGCTTTTCACTTATTTTAAAGAGTGATGACTTCCAAACTCCTTACACACTGGACCAGAAACCAGAAGTCAGTCATTTTTTATAATTTTATTCATAAAAGTTCAAACATCTCTTGTTAGATTTATTGTAAGGCACTTCTGACATACTAATGTTATAAATGACATCTTTTCAAAAATATTTTTCAACTCTCTGTGTTTGAACTACAGAAAAACACTGAATCATCTTCCTAAACTCTAATATCATTTCTAATAGTCTACTTGTAAATTATCTTGGCTTTTTCTATGCACAATCATATAACATGTGAACAAAGGCATGAAAGGGATGTGGAGCGGACTGAATAACAATCCCCAAAGATGTCCACATTGCAATTCCCAGAAACCTGTGAATATGTTACTTTACATAACAGACTCTGTAGATATGTCTAAATTAAAGATCTTGATGTGGAGAGGTTTTTCTGGATTATCCAGCTGGGCTTTAGAAGAAAGTGGAGAAGGGTCAGCATCAAAAAAGGCAATATGGTGATGAAAGCAGAAAGACAGGTGATGACAGAAGCAGAGGCCGGAAGGATGCGCTTTGAAGACAGAAGAAGAGGCCACAGGGAAGGAATGCAGGAAGCTGAAACAGACAAGGAAACAGATTCTCCCCTAAAACTTCCAGAAGAAACACAGTCCTGCTGATACCTTGACTTTAGTTCCACAAGACGAATTTTGGGCTTTTTAGAAATTTTTTAATTGGAGTAAAACTGCTTTACAAAGTTGTGTTTCTGCCGTACAATGCAAATCAGTCATAATTATACACATATCCCCTCCCTCTTGATAATTTTGAACTTCTGATCTCCAGCACTATAAGAATAAATGTGTTGTTTCAAACACACCTTCCCCTTCACCCTCCCTCTTCAAAAAAAGGTTCAATATTTAAAATTGCAATAACCCAGTATATCAGTCCTGGGTGTTCACTGGAAGGACTGATGTTGAAGCTGAAACTCCAACACTTTGGCCACCTGATGTGGAGAGCTGACTCATTTGAAAAGACCCTGATGCAGGGAAAGATTGAGGGCAGGAGGAGAAGGGGACGACAGAGGATGAGATGGCTGGATGGCATCACCGACTCTATGGAGATGGGTTTGGGTGGACTCTGGGAGTTGGCGCTGGACAGGGAGGCCTGCCGTGCTGCAGTTCATGGGGTTGCAAAGAGTCAGACATGACTGAGTGACTGAACTGAAACTGAAAATCCAGTATACTTCAGTCTCAGGATACCTTACTCAAACAAACATATGATTTAATTTAAGAGAATGGTTGAGATGATTTATGACAGAATGAATCAAAGTTATTAAGCAATAACTCTGAGCAAAGCCAGACAGGGGGTTGACTACTATCTGAGTTTCCTGCAATCTCTCAGGAATCCTCAGAAACAACAGCAAGATCGTCTGGAGCCAGACGTCAGAGGGCAGTCAAAGGACATCTCTCAGTCCCTGTGGTTTCGTTATTTATCTCAGCCCTTTCTTATATTTTTGTGGTCCTGGGTAACTTCTGTGTTTAAAACACTCTAGCTTTCCAACTCTTCTGGGTAGTGTTACACGTTACTTGCTAAAAATAATTTATTAGTTGAAACAAGACAGGAACTCTTGCAACAAAGAAACAGTTCTACGATATACTTAAAAATTCAAATTCTTATCCCAAGCATAAAAAATACAAACACTGAAAGGTTGAAGAGATAAACTCTTCATCTTCAACAAACTGCTTTTTAAGGGCTAAGAAAATGTTTGCGGTGCTATCTTTGTAAATTTTAACCATTTCTTCTCTGTATATATTACATGCCCAAATACTGTGCATCTAGTGTCGCATCAACGGCGCTTAATCAATAAAGAACAGTATCTGGCCTGTGCTCTTTGGGCTGGAGTGGTTGGGGGCGATTAGTGGCTACAAGCTTAGGAGCAAAGTGGAAGGAGCAATCAGGAAGGCGGGGTGAAACTCAGGGGCTCGCGGACACAGGCCTTGGTAGAGGGGAGTGCTAGAGAAGGCTCACGGTGGCATCGTCCCGCGCGCGGCTGCCGGCGGCGGGCGAAGGGCCAGGTTCAGTCGCCCGTCCCGTGCCCAGCAGAGCCGGGCGGAGGACGGGACTGGATGGCCACGCACTCACCTGGTTGGTGACCTGAAATGGAAGCAGAAAACACAATTAAGGGAACAGTCTTTCTTGTTTCGGAGCCCGCTGCCCCAGTTCCTTCCAAGCCAGACCTTACCTTGGACTTAGCATCCAACTGGGGCTCACCGGAGTCCTCCATAACACGGTTCCGGGATCCCACCATCCACTCAGGTGGTCGCTCCCAGGAGCCACAAACACTTCCGCTTCCTCTTCCCGCCCCTCGAGGCCCGGAGCACGCAGGGTACGTGGGGGAGGAATACAAACATCTTTGTATTAGTCTCCTTAGTCTCAATCAGACATTAGTTTTATGGAGTCGATCAGTAATAAAGAAAATACTGTAAAGGAAAAGGTTTTAATATTTGGCATATAACCTGTGAAGGGAAGAAGCGATTATCTTCAGGATGCCGCCGCCCCCTACCTATCCCATATACATGGACTCATCCTGTCTGCCGCCCACAGCGCCTTCTGCGCAAGCGCAGACTTGTGGCGGCGCAGACTGGTTAGAAATCGATGCTAGTTCAGTTCAGTCCCTCAGTCGGGTCCGACTGTTTGTGACCCCATGGACTGCAGCACGCCAGGCATTCCTGTCCATCACCAACTCCCGGAGTTTACTCAAACTCATGTCCATCGAGTCAGTGATGCCATCCAACCATCTCATCCTCTGTCATCCCCTTCTCCTCCCGCCTTCAATCTTTCCCAGCATCAGGGAGTTAGTTCTTCGCATCAAGTGGCCAAAGTATTGGAGTTTCAGCTTCAGCATCAGTCCTTACAGAGTCTCATTTTAAAAAGGAGACCTGATAGGTTAAATGCCTGGCTATAGAAACATAATATTAGGGTAGTCATGATTTCTTATTGGGGGTACACTATTTTATCCATACTGCCGAAAAATGAGGCCAAATTATATTAGGTTTTGATATGTTCTTAAGAATTGCAAAAAGGCGTTTTAGGATGGTTGCTTGGCAATGAAACACAGGCTAAAGGCAGATGACAGGGTCTCTACACATAAAGAAAGCTGGACGTATTCCTACTGGGATAAATAATATAAGACAGTAATCATAGTGGTGTGCCATGAATAAGTTACAGGTGTGCAGAGAAACCGACCCTCTCCAATAGCTCCAGGGAAAGAAGGGTGGGGCCTTGTCTTAGAAGATTCCCTGGGCTAGTTATGACTGCTTTGTCAACCTTATTTGATTAAGTCAGGTGCTGAAATCCCAGATTTCCTCAATTGTTAGCTGCATATTTTTTCTAATTTGACTCCTCAGAAATCTTACTGCATGTTGCTTCAGATGGCTCCTTACAATGGCAGATAGTCAGACAGCAGGTGTGACTCAGCTGTCTTTGCATGTGTGTGCATGAACTTGGTTATAGCTGTTCAACACTTCTACTGAATTACGGGTATTGTTGGCTGTGTACATACCATGTTCAAATGCCATGTGAAATGCCTTTTAAAAGATTATGCTGTGATTTGGCATAACAGAAAGCTACCAGGAATGGAACCAGGCAGGAAAGAGAACAGTGGGTTGGTTGTAAACTTATACCAATAAGGCAAATATGGGTTATTGGAAGAAGGACCAAAATTCCACGTCTTCTTACAAATCAACCGAATTACAATTTCCAAAAACGTGAGTAGACTTAAGTAAATAAAACAAAAAGGTTGGGACCTTCCCTGGTGGTCCAGTGGCTAAGACTCCTCACTCCCAATGCAGGGGCCATGGGTTCGATCCCCAGTCAGGGAACTAGATCCCACATGCTGCAACTAAAAAAATAATTAAAAAAAAAAAAAAAAAAGGTTGCTTATTTCAGTTCAAGGTTGGAGAAGTTGCCAGATCCCTCAGAATACAAGAAAGAACTTGATAAAAATAAGAGCAGTTTTAGGGTCTCAAATACTTTTATTAAGACATCAAACATCAATTTGTCAAAAACTTCCTGATGTGTTTGAATAGAAGCTGCCAAATTTGTAATAATTGCTGGGAAAATGAGACTATGAGTTTAGTCATGTAGGAAATAACATTTTCGCAGGTAACAACTACATGTTTTTATTTGGTTATTTGAATTTGGGGCAGCTGTATCAACTGACACCTGGTTACTCCTCTGAATTTGAGTATGAAAATTTGGGGCAGATCTAGAAATTAGGTGTTGCTGTATAAACCCTGCCACCACCACCACCACAAATTCCCAATGTCATATTACAAGCAAACATTTATTTAGCTTACATGTCTTGGGGGTTAGCAGTGGGCTGGCCAGTGGAGGCTGGGCTCAGCCGAGGTGCTTCTGCTGTGTTCCAAGTGTCTATTACTCTTCCTGGAACCAGCAGGCTGGCCCAAGCTCATTCTGCTCTAGTTGATGATACAAGTACAAACAGCAAGCAGAAGCTTATTTAGGCCTGGACTTGGAACTGGGATACCATTATTTCTTCTCCACTTCATTGACTGTAGCGGATCACATGGCTGAACTCAAAGTCAAGAAGTAGGAAGATATACAGTTGATCCTCATCATAAAGAAACCACGAACACTGAGTTAGTAAATGCCGAACCAGTGCTCCTCATGGGAACAGGTTAAGTTCTTGTGAGCCTCTGGTCACATTTTAATCAACCGATCAATATATTTTTATGTATATTTTTGTTTCAAGTCACCACATTGAATCTATATTATTGATTCATTAACACTGATCCCAGGGCTAACAACACTATAATTCATGCCTGAAAGAACTTACCTAATATTTGTATTTTCTCTACAAGGCACATCACAGTCTTCCTGTATGTGGGAACACAAAACAGCACATGAGCACAATGCCTGGGGCCATTCTGTACAGTGAAATCATCAACAAAAAGCACAAAACTGCATATATATATATATATATATATGGCATTAAATATAGACTGCATAAAGGATACATTTCCAATACAAGACTTCAAACAAAATGGCAGAGGACACACTTGCTTCACCTCAGCTGGGAACTCAATATTTTTGCTACTCCAGGCATGTCTGTAAATGACCTTGAAAGTGACATGAGTAGCGATATGGGGGTTACAAATAAATGTAAACAAATAGATAAACCAAAACACAGAACCTATGAATAATGAGAATTGACACTACGTTGCTCCTAGTGGAAAACACTCCAATGTTATATGGCAAAGGGTACAGATAAAGGAAGAATTTAAAAATGGGGGCCTTACATATATGCATAACTGAATGACTTTGCTGTATACCAGAAAATAACACAACATTGTAAATCAACTCTACTTCCATTAAAAAAACAAAAACAAAAAACCCCCAAACATGGGGGCCAATAATGCATCACGGGCCCCATCTTAGACTTACTGAATCAAAGTTTGCATTTCATATTCCCCAGGTATTTGTATGCACATTCAAGTTTAAAAAGTACTGGCCTTATGGATACATGCATGCATGCCAGAGGCTGGGAGTTAAACCCTACAAACATCAGAGGCTACTACATTCATGAAGCTTGTATGGGTCCAAAGGCCTAGGGCATAAGAGGACAACCTCTCTAAGGTGAAGGATTGGCTATTGCACCCTGCAATTTCTCTTTAACAGGCAAAGATGGAGCACTTGGTGGGATTCTGGCTTTTGGAGGCAGCAAATGCCTCATTTGGGAATACAGGCGTAACATATTTATGGGTGATATGGCTGGCTGCCGGTTGCAGCAGGTCCCTGAGCAAGACAGTGCTCTATAGCAAGTCCATGCTGGAATACAAGCTGCCTTCTGTTTGACCCTATCTCTCAGCAGATGCAATGGCACTAGAGAGGTCCATGCTGCTGGGAGTCCTAGGCAAGCCATAATAGGAGCATCAGAGTGCAGGACCTCATGATTCTGGAGAAACATCATTCCCCTGACAACAGGAGGTACAGATAAAGGAAGAATTTAAAAATGGGGGCCTTACATATATGCATAACTGAATGACTTTGCTGTATACCAGAAAATAACACAACATTGTAAATCAACTCTACTTCCACTAAAAAAACAAAAACAAAAAACCCCCAAACATGGGGGCCAATAATGCATCATGGGCCCCATCTTAGACTTACTGAATCAAAGTTTGCATTTCATATTCCCCAGGTATTTGTATGCACATTCAAGTTTTAAAAGTACTGGCCTTATGGATACATGCATGCATGCCAGAGGCTGGGAGTTAAACCCTACAAACATCAGAGGCTACTACATTCATGAAGCTTTTATGGGTCCAAAGGCCTAGGGCATAAGAGGACAACCTCTCTAAGGTGAAGGATTGGCTATTGCACCCTGCAATTTCTCTTTAACAGGCAAAGATGGAGCACTTGGTGGGATTCTGGCTTTTGGAGGCAGCAAATGCCTCATTTGGGAATACAGGCATAACACATTTATGGGTGATATGGCTGGCTGCCGGTTGCAGTAGGTCCCTGAGCAAGACAGTGCTCTATAGAAAGTCCATGCTGGAATACAAGCTGCCTTCTGTTTGACCCTATCTCTCAGCAGATCCAGTGGCACTAGAGAGGTCCATGCTGCTGGAAGTCCTAGGCAAGCCATAATAGGAGCGTCAGAGTGCAGGACCTCATGATTCTGGAGAAACATCATTCCCCTGACAACAGGTCATCTGAAAAACAGCCCCTGGCATGCCACTAAGAGCCTGGCTTTGCAACTGAAGTGATGATGCAACTGTGGCTGCTCATCATGAGCTGGGCATCTCAGATTTAACAACTCGCAGCTGGGTGGATATAGCAACAGTCTCTCAGATGGATAGAGAATGGGGACTCTTGGAAATTCCTTGGAAGTTGAAGAATGGTGGCCATTCTTCATAAGAACATAAGTGGGAGAACTAGAAGTTCCTCAAGCAAGGCCAACTCAATGTAATAGTCTTTTGCCCACTCCCTAACTGCTCATCTTCCTGCTTTCCCTCTCTTGGGTGCAGCAGTAATACACTCTATCCCAAGTCAGATCTCTGGTGTCATCAATGACAACCACGGCTCAACAGAAGGATACTCCCTTCCAACAGAATCTCGTTAATCTGTGTCTGCCCCTCCGTCTCCATGGCTATTGCCTTAGTTAAGTCTCTCGTCATTTTACTCTGGCAAATTTCCCACATTACTGAAAATAGCGTTTCTGCATATCTGATTATTCCATTCATTCCTCAAATATTTATTCAGCATCTACTGTGTATCAGGCATTGGGTTAGGCTTTGGGGAAAACAATGTGAAGGGAAAAAAAAAAGTACTTCAGGCCTTACGGAATTAGCCTGAAAAGAGAGATGAAAATCCTTCTTAAAATCCTTCAGAGGTTCCCCCTTGTTTTCAGGATGAAGCCCTGATGTTTGGACCAGCTGAAAGTGAATGTGTTAGTCAGTCCTGTCCCACTCTTTTGTGACTCCATGGACTGTAGCCCGCCGAGCTCCTCGGTCCATGGAATTCTCCAGGCAAGAATACTGGAGTGGACGGGCTGACTCTGCAGGAATGGGAGGGCGCCGGTGAGCACGCGGTCTTAGACT